AAAAAAATCCCACTTACGATTGTATCAAAAAGAGTAAGATACTTCAGAATGAATTTAACCGGGGAGGTGGAAGACCCGGGTATTGAAGACTACAATAGAGAAACAAACGGAAGGCGACAGAGCGCGGGGCGGTGAGTCCCTGCGCACCGACCGGCAGGGCCCGGCTGCTGAAATGACCGCACCGCACGGACAGGCAGGGCCCGGCTGCTGAAATGACCGCACCGCACGGACCAGCAGGGCCCGGCTGCTGAAATGACCGCACCGCACGGACCGGCAGGGCCCGGCTGCTGAAATGACCGCACCGCCTGGCACCGGGCGGGCGGGGGCCCGGAGCCGACCCTGCCCACGCCCGGCTGCACTTTTCAAAGAAACGGAGGCCTCGCTCTGCAGTTTACGCGGCAGCACACAGAGCCCTCCACGGCCGGCGCCGTCTTCGAGGCATCGCGTCCCCCGATCTCAAACGGTATCGCGAAGCTGCGCTCGTTGGGGCAGCACGGCGTTGCCGTGGAAACAGACACGCGGGTCAGCAGGGCGGAACGGACCGCTCGGGAACAGACCCGCGAACGTAGAGTCGATTAATTTATGGCAAAGGAGGGAAGAATTCGCAACGGGGACAGGGCAGTCCCTTCGATAGATGGCGCTGGGAGAATCGGACGATACGTGCACAAGAATAAAAATGGGTCATGACCCTGCGCCACACACGCAAATGAACTCAGAACAGTCCAAAGCCCTGAATGCGAGACCCGACACCATGAAGCACCAGACGAAAATGCAGGGCACGCTGCTGGTGGGTGCTGTGTGCAGCCCCCATGGAAAACAGGGTGGAGGCTCCTCAAAGACTGAAAACAGAGCTGCCAGAGGCATTTACCCCCCGGAAATGGAAACCCAGCTCAGGAAGATCGAGGCACCCCACGCTCACGTGAGCCAAGACGCGGAGGCGCCTGCGCCCAGCAGACGCCCGGAGGGAGACACTGGGGCCTGTACACGCGACGTTCATTACCCAGCACGAAGAAGAACGGAATCGTCGGCCACGACGACACGGAAGAAGCTGCGGGCGCCACGCTGCGTGGAATGAGCAGACACAGACAGACAGACGCCGTGCGGTCCGCCCCGCATGCAGGACCTCATGGAACGAGCTCACAGACACGGGGAACAGACTGCGGTTGAAAGGGGTGGGGTGGACTGTTTGGGGGTTTTTTGTTTCGTTTTGTTTAAACAAACTGAATACATTTCATTTTTATGAAGTAGTTACGGGAGGACCGCGAGGACCCCAAAGCCTGGAACACTCACTGTCTGGGCATCCCAAGAAAAGTTAGCCAACCCCGGATCGAGAATCGCATAAGGCCGAAAGGGCAGGGCCACCGAATCACACATGCCTAAGTCTAGTCCCAGTCAAGTCGAAATTCTGATAGACCCCCAGTCACGTGTGACGGTCACCCAGCAGCCTGCCCCCTCTGCCCCGTGAGTGACGCGTGTGTGATGCGTGTGCCACGCAGACACTCGCTCGTCCTTCGCAGCTGGATCCTGGCGTGTGGCATTCACCGCACGCCGCAAGCACACGGGACACTGCGCTGAAACTCAGTTCACTAAGCGTGACACGCACGGCCGAAGTGGCAAGAGCGGTGAAGGACGGCGGGGAGGGCGGGGACAGCGGGACCGCGCGGTCTTCGGGAGTGGACGGCGGGCGTCCTCGTCGTGTTCCTGATCTGAGAGGAAACGTCTCGGTTTTTCTGCAGTGAGCGTGGTGTTCGCTGAGCGTGTGTCGTGCGCGGCCTTTAGCACGTTCCAATGGTCAGTAGGCAGCCCGGGTATGGCAGCCTTAGCCGTGGGCACCGAGCTCGTGCATCCGCACGTGGGAACCAGGACGCGCCCCCACCCGCGATGACCCGTGCGTCACCAGCCAGAACAGGCAGCGCACGCTCCTAAAACGTGGCTTTCACAGAGAAACGAAACACGCACGAACGGAAGGGCTCGCTCTCACCGCACCCTCGCTCGGCCCAGGGTGTCCAGCTACACACTCGGGGACCTCAGACGAGGGGTGAGCCGCCCTGTCAGGGACACGGCTGGGCGTCTGGAAGTCGGGGAAGGGGCGGCCGCCGGCCCGAGCTCACCCTGCAGTGGATGACGACCACGTGCTGGGGGTCGCTGTCCAGCCAGGACTCCTGGGCCTTGCAGATGGCGCACACCTTGTCCAGCGGTGGTGCGTGCAGCTCCGGCCAGCCCACATCCAGGATCTGCAACGAGAGGGCGCACTGTCCGATCCCTGTCTGGGTCAGGGCCCTCGGCGGCCCCGACCGGACACAGCGAACACTGACCACGTATGTCACTCGAGGGTCAGCAACAGGCCCCGCGCCCCGGTTCCAGCTCTCACGGCCAGGAAAGAAAAACTCGGAGGATTAAGTCGCCCTGTGAGACGTCTGTCCCTGGTCTCAGCTACTCTTTGGAGCTGGACGGATGATTCTACAAGGGACTCAGGAGCCGCTAACGATGCCAGCCCGTGGGGAGGGGCGGGGCCGGCGGGGTCCGAGACGGGACTTCTTGGCCTGACTTGGTCCTCGGTCTGACTGCGGCCAGGTCTGGGGACTGCAGGAGCCATCGCCCACGGCCTCGGAGGGGTGTCTGAGGGACAGGCCAAGGCGCCTTCCGGGGACACAGGCACTGCTCACAGGGGCCAATGGGTCCCTTCCCCTTTCCTTCCTATGGGGGGCGGGGGCAGGCAGACCTGACATACTGTAAAAGCAACAGAAATCGTGCAAAATGATGGGAAAATGCAGAACACAGCCAAGACACCGGAGGTCACACAGACCGCCCAGCACTGGGGACGGCTCTGACCCTGGGGCACGCGTGGCGAAGCTGAGACGCCGTCACACAGAGACCTACGGCCTGCCCTTGGGGACAGCGCCCAGATGGGCAGGTCGCCATTACTGTCCCCTTCCTCGAAAGGCTGCAAAACATTCCAGCATGTGAAGCCTGCGTATCACACCGCCACGGACACTTACGAGCTTCAATGTCCCCTAGATCTCTGCCATTAAAAGCAACAGTGGATGGACCAAGGGCCGGGGGGGTTAGTGCATGGAGGAGGCAGGGGGCAGGGCAGTGACACAGTCTCACGGACGAGGTGGCAGACACACATGCGGACACACACGTGTGCTCGCACGCACCGCGCCTGGAAACCAGGGGACTGGCTCAGGCTCGGCGTCAGCACCCTACTGCTAGCCACGCAAGGTGTCACCACGGGTGGGGACGGGATCAGGGGCTCATGGCCTCTCTCTGCATCGTTCTTGCAATTTCCTGAGAATCTATAATTATTTTAAACCACAAAAAGAATTGAGAAAGCAGCCATGGGCACGACCAGCCCCCGACACCCCTTGTCAGGCGCGTCCCACAGATGCGTCGCCCACCGTCTGTCCCGGCAAGGTCAGCGGCGACGAGGTTACGAACTCGGGAGATGCGGGCCATACCTTTGGGTTCAGCTTCGTGAGGTCGTATCTCTTTTCCGAAAGGTTTAACACCTACAAGCAGGGAGATGAGAAGTTATTAGACAGGTCACTGTCCGCACGCGGTCTGCTCTCCGGGTATCGAGGATCGTAAAAGAGTAAGACGTGCAGATGTGTCATCGCAGAATACAGACAGAACGAGAAAGGACGGCACACGGGACCCTCCGGGATGGGCCTTGGCCCCCAGGAGCACGGGCGTCCTCGGGAGAGAGGCGGACACAGCTGGAGGGGGGCGTGCCTGCCCCGGGGGTGGGGCCGGGCCTGCGAGGGGCGAGGCTCAGGGGGGCTGGGCTGGGGCACAGCGCTCGTCCCCGTCACTTCTGAGAGCAGTAGACGCCCAGGAGAGCCCCTCGCTGTCCCCACACTCAGTGTCCCCTCTGTCCCCACGCTCGGGGTCTGCTCACCAGGTAGTTGTCCCCGTGCTTGGACCTCAGCATGTGTGTCACCTCCTGCAGGCTGTGCAGGTAGGACTCCTCGGAGCAGCCGGCAGGGAAGGACACCGCGATGATGCGCTCGGTGACGTAGGTCAGGTCCAGCTCGTGGCTGTCCTCCATGGTGGCGCCCGGCGCTGCCGGCCTAGGAGAGAGGGGCCAAGCGCTGAAGGACGTCACGCCCTCGCCTGGGACAAACCTCAGCAGCCACGTGCGGGGTCACGGCCCCTCAGAGGCCGGCAGGAGAAGGGCTGTGCGCAGGCACTGCCCAGACCTCACCTGGCTCACCGCAGGCGCGGGAGGGAGGCAGAGCTGAGAGGCGGGAGGGGGCGCAGGAGAGGTTGGCTGGCCGGGCTGCTGGCCAAGAGCCCCTGGGGCTAGGGTGGCATCCAGGATGAAAGCAGAATGGTTGGGGGGAGGCGATGGACACCCTCGGACCTGAACGCCCGCATTAAACATGGGGGGTGCGGGACATCCGGATGGGGTTCCAGTCCCCCCAGAATGCCACCGCCGGCTCTGGGAGTTTGCAGCAGACCTGCTGTCTGTGTTGCTCCCCTCATTTTGGAAAGATTCAGAAACACACAAAATGGTTTAACAAACCTCCAGGAACCATCTTCTGCCTTCAAGTTCACAGGCGGCCAGAGCCCCCCCGCCCCCGCCCAAACCCCCCTGCAGCCACCTGGATCCCTTTGAAGAAATCCCAAGTGTTAGATATCATTTCATTTGCAAATACTTCGGTATTTACTTCTAAAAGACAAAACAGCGTTCAGAAGCACGCAGAACTCCGTCACCACACGCGGAAGAAGGAACATCGCCAAAGGGCACGCCCGCAAACCTGTCTTCAAGGTCGACTTATTCGAGTCAGGATCCAAACGAGCAGCAATGTTTTTTTCTCTACCTCATGCCCCAGATGTGGATGCAAAAGGGTTTTAATTACTTTTAAAAATCAAGTCAAAAATTATTTTGAACACTGGTACGGAAATAAACAATGTGCCGGTCGCATTCCTCGGGGGCCCGTCCACACACGTGGGGTGCGGGAGGGGCCGGCCCTCCAGGCAGCTGCTCTGACGGAGGCATGGACACGCCCCCCGAGGTCTGGCTGTGGCCAGGGTCACACGGTGAGCTGAGGGGACGGACACTCACCTGGACGGTCTGTCACAGCAGAGAGAAGCGGACAGTGAGACTCCCCCCGGAGCCTGCAAAGGACAAGACACGAGTCACTGTGAAGTCTCCTGCCCCAGAGTCCACGAGTCACGAACCAGAGGAAGGGGAGTGACTGTGCCGAGGTTTCATCTCGGGGGCAGAGTCACCCCTGTCACTGTTGGCTCGTCACCTGGGAAGGTGTCCGGCCTGCCGGGGAATCTCGGCCCTACGACAGATCCCAAGTGTCACAATTCCTCGAACCCAGAGTGACAGCGGCGCAAAGAAGAGGCTCAAGCCGCGTTGTCGCATATGCCAGCACCGTCCCCATTACTGTTTGCTCAGAAGAGCCAATCAGGACTCGCAGAGAATCCTGTTCCCGCCCCTTTCAAAAGCCCGCCGGACAGGAGGAAGAGCTCCGGGCTGTGAGCCTCCAGTGTGCACAACCCTCGCGTGTGTGAGTGTGTGCGTGCGTGCATGTGAGCGTGTGTGTGCGTGTGAGCATATGTGCGTAAGCGTGCGTGTGCCTGTGCACGCGTGCATGTGAGCGTGCGTGAGCGTGCGTGCATGTGAGCGTGTGTGAGTGAGCGTATGTGCATGAGCATGCGTGTGCGTGTGCGCGTGCATGTAAGCGTGCGTGAGCGTGCGTGCATGTGAGCGTGTGTGAGCGTGTGTGCGTGTGAGCGTATGTGCATGAGCGTGCGTGTGCGTGTGCATGTAAGCGTGCGTGAGCGTGCGTGTGTGTACGTGCATGTGAGCGTGCGTGTGCGTGTGAGCGTGCACGCGTGCATGTGAGCGTGCGTGTGCATGTGTGCGTGTGTATGAGCCTGTGCGTACGCGAGCGTGCGTGTGTGCACGTGTGGGTGTGGGTGTGTGCGTGTGAGGTACACTAAGGCGCTACAAACGCTATTTCAGGAGCTGCCCGGCAGCCTTCTGGGTAGGAATTACACCCGTAGGGAACCTGAGGCTCACAGAGGCGCGAGGTGCTGGCAAGGAGCGTGGGGCGGGGGGCCAGGAGCCCCGCAGCTCTCCAGATGCCCGTGCTGCCTGGCGCTGCGTCTCCTGGCCCCTGCGCTGTGGCCAGCTGCGGCCGGCACGCACCCGGTGGGCGACGCTGGATGAAGTGTGCGGCAGGAAGGCCGGAGCCTGCCGCGGTGCACAGCGCCCCTCCTCAGACAGGGCCCGACACCTGACTCCACTGGGGTCCCCCCCGGGCACCCGGCTCACCTTGGCTCCCACAGGCGGGACAGAGAGAACGTCAGGCTATTTTGGGGACCGGAGAGACAGATGTCCTCCTGAAAGCTCACCCACCACAGGGGGCGCAATCTCACCCCCAAGTGGGGCGGGACCTGGACCACGGCCTCCTCCGCCCGCAGATGGCACTGACAGCTTGCCCTGGGGGCCGCACTGGCCGGCTGGCCTCCCCTGCCTGCGTGTCCCGTGTCAGGGGCCGCAATTCCCTGGCAACACGTCCCTCGCGTTGCTAAGTCACACGCGTCAGGCCTTTCGAGTGCTCTTCGTACCCACTGACGAGCCTCTAGAACGTCAAAGCCGTGTACCCTTCACCGACGCTAAGGACGTCCGTACCTTCTCACCTTTGCTGTCCCAACAGACGACGCCCACCTTGTTGTCTGGAGAGTGTCTAATTCGGGCCATTGCGGGTTTTGGGGCAGGGCCTCCAGGGGACCCCGAGTCCATGTGGGGCAACGGCGCAGCCCCGGCATGACACGCGAAGCCGCGAGCAGGGTGGCTATGTCTACGTTCGCAGGACAGAGCAAGGGCCTCTCTGCAGCTGAGGGTGTCCGCCTGTGCAGCCGTTTCCCAGAGAGCACGGTGACCCCAGGCTCGCGTGCCCACACAGTCAGGGACAGCCTGGAGCACGCTTCCCGGTGTGGCACCCGCAGGACAGAGGCTGGGCAGACAGCGCGGGGCCAGGACACTGTTCCCTGGCCCAGGTTTTGATGGAGGGCCGATCCACCGCAGACTGTCGACTGTCTGCCCCAAGCTCGGGCTCCGCTACTGTGTGCCGAGGGGTCCTCGTCTCTCCAGGTGTGGCCCTCGGTCCCTGCCTCGCCTGGGCTGAGGGACCACGCCGGGCTGGCAGGGAGGGCCCGTTGCTCACACAGAGACCAGTAGTGCCCCGTCCTGCCGCATGTCACCCTGTAGAGCTGTCGTCCCCAACCTTCGTGGCACCAGGGACCAGGGCTCCTGTGAGCACCTAACGCCTGATGGTCCGAGGCGGGGCTGAGGCGGCGATGCTGGCGCTGGGGAGCGGCTGCGAACACAGATGGAGCTTCGCTCGCTTGCCCGCCGCTCACCTCCTGCTGTGCGGCCCGGTTCCTAACAGGCCACGACCGGCACCGGGTCCACGGCCCGGGGCTTGAAGGGCCCCGTCCCTTCGGCATCATTTGCGACACTGGTGGGTACCTCCAGGACACCCAGTCACGCCGGCCCAGGTGTCCGAGGGACGCTCTGCCGTCGATGACTAACTACTCCTTCTGAGAGGGCAGGCCTGCCGGAGGGGGGGCTGGGGCTCGGCCGGGCGCTCTGCCGAGTCGGGGAGCAGACGACAAGGCCGGGGTCAGCCACCCAGGCGGTGCCAACATCACCGGGCCCCGCGCTCCTTCACATGAGGGCCCCTCTCTAAGCCTGAGCATCGAGAACGCCGGGTGCTCGCCGTGGGGCCTCGGCTCCTCACGCATGGGTGGCCGACGGCCGTGGCAGCTCCTCCACAAGGTCTGTGGGCCAGAGCAGGACGGGGCGTCACCCGGCCGAGCGTGGCCCCCACGGAGCAGTGCGTGGTCCCGTCCGTGACAACGTGTTCTCACGTGAGCTCCGGGAACAGGAGATGGGTGAGAGGGAGGGGAGGGGAAGGGGGACAGGTCTACTAAGCGTCACTTGGTGGGCAGTGTCACATCAGCAGGGGTGTGGGAGAGGGCTCCATCCTGAAGACACAACAGCACCCATGACACGCACACACATGTGCACACACACGTGCACACACATGCGCACATATGCGGTACCTCTCCGCCGCCAGAGAGAGACGCGGCCCCGGGCACAGGCATGCCGGGAGCGGCCGGCTGCCAGGGCCACCTGCCCCGAGCTGCCTCCTGCCGCCCGCCGTCAGCAGCAGCTGCTGTGAACTGCCGGGCGTTGGAAAGTGACCGTAACGTCGCCTTGCCCCACGCGCATCTGGACGCGAGGTTCGCTCAGGCCGAGGTCACATCGGCGCCTCCTCGTCACCCTGCCCCGGGACTCTGAGATGTGCCGGCTGGTCTGAGCCCGACAGGAGGAGGAGGTGAGGACGCAGACGAGCAGGGCGGGAGGGAGGCCCTGCGGCTTTCCCGACCAGCCCGACGCCCCCCGGGAGGCTGGCGGGGCGCAGCTGAGCGCGGGGCAGCTTCGGGGTGGTGCACGTGGAACCTCTGCCCTTTCTCGGCAGAGCGAACAGCAGGGGTGGGGACGGACCCAGGGCCAAGTGCACGTGGCACCCTGGCCGCCGCAGATCCCTCTGGGGCCGGCACTCACGGTGCTGGGAAGAGGCTATGGGGCCAGGCGGCCTCTTCCAAAACCAGCTCCCTCTTCCTGCCTGCAGCCCAGTGGCCTCTCCCGCCACAGGCCAAACGTGGCCGGGAGCCGATGGGCAGGCGGGGCGGGTGCCCCGAGTGGCAGGTCTCCCCGGCAGCAGTACGCATGCAGGCCAGGGACAGTGCCCTTGGTGGGGCAGGCAGTGGGGACACCAGGAAGGCGGCCCACAGCTGGGCTGAGCAGCTGTGACCCCCGGAGGCTGGAAGCTGCCCTCCCAGCGCTGCAAAACGGACACCGCGGGCATCTCCCGCCCCCCGCAGCCCCCCAGCAGAGAGGCCTGCCTCAGGCGCTGGGGAGGCGCGTGCTCAGCCTGGACCCCAGGACCTGACGGGTGCCTGGTGCCCGCCCGCCGGCTCTCCTGTTCCGTCCTCGTTAACTCACGCAGACCAGGAAGCAAAGGCACGAGGTCCGCGTGCGGAGCTGGGGCGGGGAAGAGGCGGGGGCGGGAGGCGGAGGAGCGCGGGGGAGGGAACGTCACACAACGTCACACCTCTGCTCGCTCCCGAAACCGCGGCCCCGGCCCAGGTCTCTGGGCACCAGAAAAAGCAGGAGACGGCGGTTGGGCACACGGCGGGTCGGGGGACAATGGCGGTGTCACCGTGGGGGGCTGAGGCAACCCGGTTACTTGACGCTCAGAGGTCGGCGGGAGGCGGAGGAGCGCGGGGGAGGGAACGTCACACAACGTCACACCTCTGCTCGCTCCCGAAACCGCGGCCCCGGCCCAGGTCTCTGGGCACCAGAAAAAGCAGGAGACGGCGGTTGGGCACACGGCGGGTCGGGGGACAATGGCGGTGTCACCGTGGGGGGCTGAGGCAACCCGGTTACTTGACGCTCAGAGGTCGAGCTAAGAGGACAGCATGGCGGCACCGCCAGACCCGGGGCCCGGTCCCCTGCCAGACCCAGGAGCCGCGAGGGGGCCTGGGCCGAGGACGGCTGGGTGCTCCAGCTTGGGGGTCGCTGAGGGGCCCGGGGCACACGGGGGAGGGGCACACGGGGAAGCGGTCAGGTCAGCAGCCTGGGGGCCTGGACAGGGCTCGGGCATCGGTCTTCGCCTATGACGGGTTAAGTGTGAGGACAGGCGGATAGAGAGGCCCCTGTCCCAGGCTCACATGCAGGACCGGCTCAGAGCCCGCAGCCTTCACCGTCGCCAGCCCCGTCCAGAGAGAAGGCCCTCGAGAGTGCAGACCGCCGGCCGGTCGGGGCCCTCGGCCAGGCGCTGGGAGCTGAGCGCACCTCCCAGAGCTAGTCCAGCGCCGTCCCGCTGGGCGGGGGATGGGGGTCTGCACCTCGGAGGCCGGCGGGAGGAGGCACGACCGGGCTTGTCCTCTGCAGCACCTTCGTCAAGCCCTGACCGCACGCCTCTGCCGTGCGGCTCCCAGAAGCCTTAGTACTTGCACATGGGGACGGTCACTGCACACGCGGAGCCGGGGGAGGCTGAGCAAGGGGACACGCGTGGAGTGTGGCACGCGGTACTTCCTCGCGAAGTCGCCTGTATGAGCACACTGTCACGGCCCTACTGCTGAGGCTTCGACGGAGCCGAGGCGGGCTGGGGACGAGGGGGGCCGACGGCTGCTGAGGCCGGCGAGGCCCGCCCTGGAGGACCCAACCAGCAGGACCTGGCCCCGAGGCTGGGCTGTGAGCTCTGAGCCAAGAGGGGTCCACGGCGCCAGCTCTGTGGGCACGAGGTGGGCAAGCGTGGCACAAAATGACCCACCTGACACGGCCCACGGGACACAAGCCACGGGACATGGACACGGCCCACGGGACACAAGCCACGGGACATGGGACACGGCCCACGGGACACAAGCCACGGGACACAAGCCACGGAACATGGGACACGGCCCACGCGACACGGTCTGCGTCCGTCCTACGCCCCCCGACGCCTCCCCTGATCTGGGCGCGGCAAGAGCAGCACCCTGGCAGGTCTGGTCGGAGGCCCGCGTCTGCATCCGTCCTACGCCCCCCGACGCCTCCCCTGATCTGGGCGCGGCAAGAGCAGCACCCTGGCAGGTCTGGTCGGAGGCCCGCGGGCGGTGTCGTCTCTCCTTCCTCCGTGACAAGCTGTCTGTGAACCGACGGGACCTTAGGGTTTGGGGAACGAGCTTGTCGCCCCAGGACCTCCACTGCTGGACGATTTCCTCTCACAGTAACTGGCTGCCCCCTCCCGCCCCCGTCCTACATGCGACACGAACGGTCACCTCTCCTGGCGCATCTTCTGAAATGTGCAGCTTAAAGGGGCCGACTCCGCGCCCCGCTCTCGGTGGGGTGCTGGCGAGTCACACGGCGGCCGCGCTAGGAAAGACGGGTGGAAAGCAGGAACCGCACCCCCGAGCCCCGGCACCTGCCCGCGCCTGCTCTCCCGCGGCCTCGGGGACGTGCGTTTGCGACAGACCCGGCCACGGACGCCACGGGCCCCCCTTCGCCCCTCTGCGGTGCAGCTGGGACAGGGCTGGGGCGGCGGGGACGGCCCGGCTCAGGGTGGCGCCCGGACCCCACGGGAGACGTTTCTGTCCTTCTTAACCCTACAATTTTTAAAAAGTCTGGAGAAAGTGGCTAAAGTAACTGGGGCGACGGGATGGAAACTACGAAGCATCGGCGGAGGCGGCAGCAGCGACGGCGCCGGCCTGTGGTCTCTGCACGGCCCCCACCCGTCTGCTTGGTTCCCGTCCCGCTGAAGGTGACCTGGGGCGGCTCCCAACAGGGCGTCAGGCACGTGATCGGATATCGTGTCATCTACCGACTAGACCGTCTAAGCTACAGATGCCTCCATGACAAGTCGATTTGCTGAACAAATCTTCCCGGCACTCAGCGTGCGGCCAGGTCCCTGCAGACGTGGGGGCAAAGCACGAAAGAGCATATTTCCCACGTTTGGGGGACTTGCAGCAAGAGGTTGAGAGAGAGAGGGAGAGAGAGAGAGAGAGAGAGAGGGAGAGAGAGGGAGAGAGAGAAAAAGAGAGAGGGAGAGAGAGAAAGAGAGAGTGTGTGTGTGTGTGTGTGTGTGAAGAGAGAGAGGGAGAGAGAGAAAGAGAGAGAGAGGGAGGGAGGGAGAGAGAAAGGGAGGGAGAGACGAGGGAGGGAGAGAGGGAGGGAGAGAACGGTGAGTGTGCATTAAATGCTGCGTGGCAAAGGACACGTTCAGGGGCAGGCGGACATGTGCTGGACGAACAGCAGAGGGTGCCTCCCACGGGGCCGGATGTGACGGCCACGTGGAAGCTGCGGTCCTTGTGGCCTGCAGGTTGGACCTCAGCTCCACCTTGCCCTTGGCTCTTACCAGGTAAACGAGGTCTCGGAGGAACTGCCCGGTCAGCCTTCTCCCCGTGACCGCCCGCTGGCCACTCCGTCCGTGCGGAAGGTGAACGCCTGCAGCTGGCCGCACTCACTGGTTGCTGAGAGCTGGTGGCCACGCTCTGAAGTCGCCAACCTGGAGGCGCCCGAGGGCCACGCGCCTGCTCCCAAGTCGGTTCATGCCAGAGGTGCCGGCCCCCCGCAGAGTTTAAGGGGATGCGGTGCAAGCCGGCGGCGTTGGGGGGGCAGGGGGACAGAGCTGGGCCGCTGCCGCGCGCACAGGCACCGTCGGGGAGCCCCGGGGCGGGCACGGCGGCCAGAGCTCTGCCTGACCGCGGTCTGGGGACAGCCGTGCGACACGGGCGAGCCCGGAGGACTGCGGCGGCCGGCTGTCGCGTAAGCGTCCTTAAGCTTTCCAGCAGTTTGAGGAAGCCCAGACGGGGACCCAGACAGGGGATTTCACAAGGCTCACTGTGGGCGTGTACCCTGCAACACGGACGGGGAACCCCAGCCCCCGAGTGAACTCAGAGGCGGACGGAGCAGTGCACCAGAGGCGGACAGCGGCCGCTGTGTGTCCAGACACAGTGAAACACCGAAGTTCAACATCACAGAAACGTGTTTCAGGATCCTGCATGTGAACTGATGTCCCAATCCAACAATCGCCTACGGGCTCCGGTCACGTGAGACCACAGGCCTGACTGGACATGGAGCAGAGATGGCACGTGGCAGGCATCCTTAGCACCGCTCCCATCATGCGGGAGAACGGTGACGGCTGCCGTGACACACGCGCGGTTACTCTGTCCTGTGCTGTCACACCGTCTCTCGTGACCCTTACAGCTGCCCCTGGAGCTGGGGCCCCTTCCAGACTCCCTTTGCCAAAAGGGAGCTGGGAACCAGGCCTGGCAAAGTGGGCCGTGCACCCAAGTCACTGAGCGAGTGAGTGGCAGCCTGGGGCCTGGGCTCTGAGCTCGTGTGCCCCCACGGCGGACCTCCACGGCCAACGCCCCCACTTCCCTGCTGCCCAGGAGCCCGGGCTGCTCGGCCCTCTGCCACAGACCCCTGCCCGCGGGGCCGCCCTGGTTCCCCGCCTCGCGAGTTTGAAGTGGACTCGCCGACCACAGTCACGGAGGCAGCTGGAAATTGGGCTGGGGTCTGTCCCCTCCGACAGCCAGTCAGGGGAAAGGGGGTTCTCGGGTGGCAACTTAACAATGGAGCAGTCTGAAGATCCCCAAACAACAGCTAATCAATCCCTAGCTAATACCTAATCAATCTCTAATCAATCCCCAATCAACCGCCGCCGGCCCTACCGCAGTCACGGCGCCCTAAGCTGTCACCGTGAACGCAGCACAGCCACGTGGCACTGACGAGCACCGCACAGCTACTCACTGCTACAGCTGGGGCCGTTTTCGACAGCAAAATCACCAACAAAAAGCACAAAAAAGCAAAAAACGGGGCCCTAAACACCTCGGACACCCGCTCACTATTAGTTTGAGGGCTGAAACGAGAAGGCCGAGTGTCGCCCGTGTGACCTCAGCCAGCGACCTGCAGGCGGCAGCCGTCTGCTGCCGTTGTGCGCGTGGCCCTGCATGCCCGCGAAAGCACCGTGAGTGACGCCCAGGGCTAGACACGTTGCAGCGAGCAGGCGACCGTGGACACGGAGCCCGCAGGCGAGGAGGACCCACGTGAATCTGTAGGTCATTCGCTCTTTGATCCACTTAGGAAATATCTGGAAAACGTCCCAAGTAAAAGGTCCCCACACGATGTCACGGCAACACTGGAAAGAGCCGCAAACACAGCCTCGCCCAGTCCCGTGGGCAGTGCGTGCAGAGGCTGCTTCACGCCCGTGCCGCCTGGGAGGCTGAGCCTCTACTGGCTGCAGTCAAGGCTGCGGCCCTCGGAAGGACATGCTTCTCCCAACATCCGCGACGTGCCCCGCCCAGCACCGAGAGGGGGTGTGCTTCCTGGCGGGTCCTGAGGATGGGGGGGCTCCGGAGCGCGGGTGCGAGGACCACACGGTCCTCTGCACGGGGCGGGGGAGGGAGATGGGCACCGGGGTGGCAGGCTGTTCCGAGAGGAAGGGGTCTCGTCTCGGAGGCCGCCAAGCCCGCCAGGCCGCCAGGATGGCCAAGGGGCCCCGCCAGGAGGACCTCCCGGAACTGGTGTCCACACTGCAGCCGGTGTCACAAGCTCCTGGAGGCTCACAGAAGGGAGACCTGGGCCCCGGACTTCCTGACTCATTGGGTCCAGGTGTGGCCGGGGTACCTGTGTGTCCAGTTGGTTCCCTGGTTTACACCGGCGCAGCTGGTCCTAGGCACCCTGGGAACCTTGGACCCGGACCACCTGCTCACTGTCTGCTGTGCTCCGAAAACCATCACGCGTGCCAGGGCCTCATTAAAGCACCCCTCGCTGTCACTCACGCGGTCCTCCAACCTCCCAGTCACCTTCAGAGAAGCGACAGCCGGCCTCTGCCGGGAAAACTCCAGGGACAGGGAGCTCGCGGCCTCATGCGCGTCCAAGTCCATTGTTGGCTCCCAATTCTCCCAAGGTCTTCGCTACGCTGAGTCGGAATCTGCAGGCACTGACTACACCTCGGTCCCATCTCTCCCCAAGAGCAGAAAGTTACTCCCTCTGGGGACGGCGTGTGTGGTTTCCCCAAGGAAAAGAGCGAGGATGCGCCAGGCTAGCTGGAAACAGCCCTTAAAGCAGGACAGTTGTTTTAAAACAGGCTTCACGGAGCAAATGTTGCTGTTCTGGGAAACAAGGTATCAACCCCAAGTCACGTGCTGCTGCAGCTGGCAGGCTGTCAGCGAAACACCTCATCCAGCAGACAGTGTCTTTCCAGATGTCAGCAGTCTGGAATGCCACATGCGTGGGCCAGCCTCGAGCCATTAAGTCACGGAAGGTGACTGTGCAGGACGTGGGCTGGTCTTGTTTTGTTTTACAGTCTGATTATTTGAATCAGGATCCAAATAAAGTCGTACAGTGTTTATTTAATGTCTCTTCAGTCCCTAACAGTGCAGGATCTTCCTCCTTCGCCTGTAACTCATTTGAAAATGATGGGGGTCCTTTCTGCCCAGTAGACTTTCCACGTTCTGTTAGGTGCCGACTCAGAATTATTTCAGATCTCTGTGGGCCTGCGTTTCCTGGAAGCTGAGCACGGGTCTGGGCTTGGTGTCATTCTGGTTGACTGCTGGCACGGGCTTGGCCGAGGGGTGGCCCCCATGACCCCACCAGCTTCCTCCTGTGGCTGTGGGAGTTACAAAGGGTCACAGCCTCGAGCCGGCTGTTCGGTTACCTGCGGTCTGAAACACGGTGTGTTCTGACTCGATCACTTCCTGGACACTTACCTGCAATTCCTCTTTACGGCAAGACTCTCCCTCATCAGTGTGAACCCTGAGGCGCCATTTAGTAGAAGAAGATTAAATGCTTGATTGCTTCTCCTTATTCAGTTTTCAGAATGAGCTAGTTCCCTGGAATCTCCCAGAGCTAAGGAAGGAAGTTTTGCTGTTTTATTTAAGTACTTTTACAGTCCAGTGTGCAGATCCGAAAATGATGTCTCAACCCAAGGTCACGAGGTGAGTATTGCTGCACTGGATTCAGGCCACCCCGCGCTCTGAGATTCGGTCCTCGGCTCCCGCCTGCTCCCGAGACCCAGGGGACAGGCCACTGTGCCCCCCACGCCCCTGGGCACCCGGGGGGCCACTGGGGGAGGGTCCTGGTCTCCACTGTGACACACAAAGTGCGTGCTGGTGGAGAGGCCTGTTTGCAGGTCATCGGGCATGACTTTTTATTCTCTCCCTACAGCTGAGCCTCTGGACGGGGACCGCGTCTGGCAAGGTCAACACCTGCTTTATTTCGCAGTCGTTTCTTCATCCTCTGGGAAAGTAGTGATCGCAGAGAACCCCGTTACGAATGCACGGAGAGAACGTGCACGCCGGTCGGACAGCAGCCATGAGGCCCCGAGCCGCTGGAAGCAGGCAGGAGCCCCCGGCCTGCTGGCTCCCGCCCAGCACAGCGGCACCGCCAGGGAAGCGAGGCTGGGACCCGGCAGTGTCACTTGGGCTGAGAAAGTAGAAGGTGGGAGACCCAGACGGGAGAACCTGACTCCAGAGCGCTGGGCTCCCAACTCAGAGCCAGGGCCACTCGCGGGTCGTCGCTGCCCCACAGAGCCTGACGCTCGGGGGGAGGCGCTGCTGCGTGCGCTTGCTCATGAGCACGCCTCCTGCAGATAAAGCTCGCTCAGGTAGTTCAAATGCTGAGCCGCACTGACAGCTGACGACCCTGGGCTGTGGTGCCACCTCACCATGTGCCGACGGCGTCCGCGTTGGAGGCATGAAAATATGAGCCCGTGTTCTCCCCGTCCATCCTCACCGCGCTCCCCATGACCGGTCCATGGACCACTGCCTCCCGGGGCCACATCTAACACGTGAGATGCTGAGAGTCTGTGCCATGGAAAAAATAACTCTCAACCCCTTTCTTAGCCACCGCAGACTTCCACCTGCAGCCGGGGACAGTCATTCCCTGAAAAACACTTCCCAGGGCCCTTCCCTGGGCTGACGCTGGTGCCAAGGACAGGAAGCAGCCTGAGTCCACATGAGGTTAGCGGGCAGGGTGGCGCGACCCTCTGTGCCATGTGTACCACACACCTGACGTGGATGAGCCAGGGGACCGACGTCTGACTCAGGGACAGGATGGAACAGGCCGGTCAGCCGAGCGAGCGGCCTGCAGCCGTGAGTTAACTGTCAGCCAGGATCTGAGCTCCCTGAGGTCAGCCGACACGGGTTCATGCGTCCCCTCCGAGCTCTCCTCACCGGCCTCCACCTGTGGGCAGCGTGGCCGCCATCGAATCCTGGCTACCGAGGGTGGGAGGCTCAGCACAGAGGGTCCCCCTCCCTCAGCAGCTCAGGGAACCGGCGGTGTGGGAGGTGACCAGGCGTCCCCATGAAGGGGGACTCCAGCAACGCCAGGGCCTCTCCGGCCGCGGCCTTTCCCAGAAGCCCAGGCGCCGGCCGGCTGCCCATGCTGATGGAAGCCAGAGACCGCATGTCACCTCGGGCGTGAGAGGACACGGAATCGGGAGTGTGGACGCGTCCGGCCGTGGTCAGAAAGGGCTGGGGCGGGCGGCGCCCAGCCTCCTGGGTGTCCAGACCCAAAGCCCGGGGTGCCGGGCACACAGGGGCCCCGGCAGCAGCCGCAGCGGGATCTGGGGGCAAAGGTCAGAGCCCCTTCCCGTAGCCCGAGGCCCAGCCTGGGCTCTGCTTGCTCCCGAGAGGGAGGAGGTGTCGCCGACAAGCCCGTCCAGGGCCCACGGCTGGCGCGGAGACTCTGGGAATGGACGAAAGGGTAATAAATGCGTAGCTGGGCAACGAGGCTGAGAGATGAACCCATCGCCCCAGCCCGGGAAGGGAGGCAGCTCCACACCGCCCTTCAGGGGGTGGACGGCTCCGCATCACAGGTGTGAGGGAACCCCGGGAACAGGGCCTGGTCCCCGAGCCCACTCGCCCTCGGCCTTTCCCAAACGCCCTCTCTTCCCGCAAGGTGAAAGCCCAGGGCACTCCTGTCGCTGGGAAGACACAGAGCAGCCAGCGTGGGGGCCACTGTGACGCAGCCTCCGGGGAACACGGCCCGCGGCCCTCCCCGAGCAGGCACGGACGCCCGGCGTCACCATGGGGCTCGAAGGGCTGACACCCCCGTGGAGACTCGCACCTGTCACCTTCCTGGCCTCCCGAGTCTCAGGGAATGCGCCCCGCTGCCCCTGTCCCGACGGGCCTCAGTCTCCCCGCTCCATCCTCTCCACGTCCCCGCAGACAGGGGTCCTCCAGGGGACCCTGGGCACGGAGGCGCACGCGCACACGGCACCCACACTGCGCGTGCACCAACGCACAGGGGTAGCTGACAGCCCAGGCCCAGCCTGCGTCATCTGACACCTGGTGTCACCTTCCACAGAAACCGCCATTGTCTTCGCGTTAATTAAACAGAAGTGCAGCCATGAGTTCAGGACACGCTGGCTCAGATTTCAGGAGCTGTTGGCAGGGAACCTCTCCTCCAGGAACCGCAGGGCCATGTGGCCACCGGAAGGCGGGGACACGGCCCCTTCCAAGGACGGAGGCCCCTCTCAGAAGGGCGAACTCCTGAGACGCAGCGCTCCTGCCTGGCCGGCCTCGCCCGGGCGCCCTGGACCCAGGTCCGTGGGTGGCCCACGCCAGGGGATGCGGGGTCCTTGCAAGCCACCCCTGCTCCGTGGCGGGTCTCCGCCGGCACGGACAGGAACACGCCACCGAGACTAGGGCGTGAGAGGCGGACGAGGCGAGAAAACACAC